CAAGGTTGCTTACTTTCACCCTTTCTCCTGGTGATCGACTGGATCATGAAGACGTCAACATCTGGAGGGAAGCACAGGATACAGTGGACATCCAGGATGCAGCTGGACGATCTAGACTTCGCAGACGATCTGGCTCTTCTATCGCAATCGCAACAACAAATGCAGGGGACGACCAGTGTAGCATCAGCCTCAGCAGCAGTAGGTCTCAATATACACAAAGGGAAAAGCAGGATTCTCCGATACAACACAGCATGCATCAATCCAATCACAATTGACGGAGAAGATTTGGAAGATGTAAAAACCTTTACATATTTGGGCAGCATCATTGATGAACACTGTGGGTCTGATGCGGATGTGAAGGCGCGGATCGGTAAAGCAAGAACAGCATATTTACAACTGAGGAACATCTGGAACTCAAAGCAACTAGCAACCAACACCAAGGTCAGGATTTTCAATACAAATGTGAAGACAGTCCTACTGTATGGGGCAGAAACCTGGACAACTATGAAAGCCATCATCCAGAAGATACAAGTGTTTATTAACAATTGTCTACGCAAAATACTTCGGATCCGTTGGCCGGACACTATCAGCAACAACGCATTGTGGGAGAGAACAAACCAGATCCCAGTGGAGGAAGAAGATAGGACACGCATTGAGGAAAGCACTGAACTGTGTCACAAGACAAGCCCTCACATGTAATCCTCAAGGCCAAAGGAAAAGAGGTAGACCAATGAACACAATACCCCGGTAAATGGAGATAGACATGAGAAAAATGAACAAGAATTGAATGGAATTAGAAAAGAAAGCTCAGGACAGAGTGGGTTGGAGAATGCTGGTCGGCGGTCTATGCCCCATTGGGAGTAACAGGCGTAAGTAAGTAATCTCCTAATCGTCAACTACCCTTTGATACCATTGGATTAGTTAAATTTTATGACAGTAGTATATGGTTGTTTGTTTTTTCAATAATAATAATAATAATAACTTTTCTATTCAACTTTATCAATTATTAGGTACAAGAGAATCTGGAAAAATATCAATCTCTATATGATATTGTCTTGGTAAATGATGATAGTTTTGAAATTCCTTACAAAATTATCCAAAGTATTCTTATACATAATAAATAACAATAAGCCAAAGATACATACATACACATGATTATTTGTATCCCTACTATGATTTTTTTAAAAATGGAATCCATCTCATTTCATCAGAGGAACACATTATTTTGTAATTTAGTCAAAATATTGAATAAAAGGATGCTTTTTTCCCATTATTTAATTATTTTCTATAGAATTATTGTTTAATTATTCTTAAATTGTATATCCCTTTTTCCTAATTTCAATTTCCCCCTTCAATACATACATAGATACACACACATACTAATAGATGGATAGACAGACAGACAGGTTGTGGTACATGTATTCAATCGTGATCTTCAAAATTGTCAATCAATATTTGATTACAATTAAGAGTTATAATCACTATTGTTTTCTTTCTCTATTTTTTGTTTTTCATTCTTCTTAACAGTTCTAATTTGTTTATAGTTCACTTCGTCCACCCTTACCTCCTTTACCACCCGTTTTTTTTCGTACTCCTTTGTTCACAAAAACAAGAGAGAGAGAGAGAGAGAAAATTCACTATGTTGCAACTTTTGAACAAAGAATAGTCTACGTAACAATTTTAAAAGGAACGATAAAAATTAGTTTTCTTTCGTTTGTTTCTATAATGATAAACATATTTTTCTTAAAAGAATGCCAGTATCCTATTTCACTCTTTCTCTTCTATTATTTATTAATTTTTATTCAGTGATATTTCATCTTTTTACTTTTCGTATTCAATTGAGCATGTTTACCCTAACTGTGTTTGATTCTCTTCTTTTTTTTAATGTGAAAACAAATGACTGAAACCACCAATTGAAATATATATTCATATTTAATTAATATTGTCAACATTTTCATACAGGAAAGATAGTAATAGAATATAAGTGAATGGAAATATGATGAATCCCATTTACTAGGATTCCGAGGCATTTCTCGTATATCTTGGGACCACTGAGTAAGTAATGCAGTTGTTAGGAAACGGGTGCTAGATAAAGATGGCAAATCAATTGATAAAGTAGTGAAACTTCATCAGTTGAGATGGCTGGGACACGTGTTACGTATGCCCAATCACCGACGTGCGATGTTTTATGGTGTAGGGGGGGTAGGTTGGAAGAAAGCTAGGAGCGGCCAGACGAAAACATTGCACAAATCCATGAAGTCACTAACAAGTGGACTGAACCATGTTGGTAGGTGTAGACTACCTGGTTGCGATTCGCGAGATGATAGCAACCAATGGTTAGAGACCCTGAATGTGACATAGCTAAAAATCGTTTGCAATGGCGCAGGTGCATCCACCCTTTATGTTCTCCCGAATTCTAATCTTCTGAATTCTTCATGTCCCTTTCGTTTTTCTCTTTCTAAATTTATTTCACTGGATTATACTCTTTAAATAATATCTTCAAACCCTAATGTTTCCGATTATTGCCTATACTTTTACTACCTCTACTACTACGGGATTTGAATCGACAATTGTATCTGTGTGCTAATGTGTTATGGCAACTCGAACTGACGTATGTACGTACACCACGTTAAGGTAGCAACAACGGTCGGGGCTAACCAGAAAAAATTTATTTAAATTCTGCCTGGGAGTTAGAAGGTCTTCATTTAGGAGAGTTATGACGCCTCATGGTAAAAAGCCGAGTTCCGAGGAAGTCACGACGCTGATGCCCCTTCTGACAACCGAAGCAACCATTTATTTAGGTACATGGAATGGTCGTACAATGTGGGAGACTGGGAGAGTCTTACAAATTGCTTCAGAATTAGTATAATAGTTCATGGTAATATGACAGAAGTTAACAATTTTAAACTTATTGAGATTCTAACCTATCTTGCTTGCTGTGGAATCTAAAAATCTACAGTGTAATCCACAATGAAATCATGCAGATGTAAATTATCAAAAAAGTCTTATACTACTACAAAGTAACTGTGCTGTAATCTTTTGTTCCTTAATTCATACCCAGTTTGTAGAAATTTCATTGTTTCATCATTGTAATTCTAAATTTGCACTTTAGTTTAGTGTGACCTTTGTAAAACATATTCACATGGTCTCTATACATGTAAATGTTTTACAAAAGCAACATGACAATATTATAAATAACCGTGTTTATTTAAGAATTCATAAAGTTGTAAGATCATGATTATTTATCACATTATGTAATAGGTTTAAACATATTATCCTGGTTAACTTTATAACGATACGTAAATATTTGATTGAAGTATATTGAACAAAAGAAATCCAATGTAATCACTGTTATGTAACATAACATTATGATCCGATATAGTTGATATTATGGATGCTCGATTCGATTATTAGAAAGTTATAAGTATCTGTTTCATCCTTGTTAATAGTTATAAGCAAAAATGGATAGTGGCAAGCAGTCGAATCCGGGACGCGCGCTTCGTCTTATTTGGGACTCGTCAGCCGGATGTATCTGCATCGCGGAGTTGACGTTCACTTTGGGACTTGAACTCATTACCATCCGCTTCAAATGCCATCGCGTTATCCACTTAGCTACGGAGTCGTAATAGGCACTTGCTTGTGTAATGGAGTGAAGTTTAATTCACTTGGTATTGTTTTTTTTAAATCTTACCATTGATGTATAGGACTGCAATTGATCGGTCTCTTATTGGCATATGTGCATACTGTGCGTATTGCCTCGATCTTGCCTTAATTCGAGTCCCAGAGTGAACATCAACTCTGAGATGCACGTACATCCAGCTGACGAGTCACAAATAGGACGAAACGCGCGTTCAACTGGATTCCACTCCTAGCCGCTATCCAAATTTGCTTATAATGCTTGTGAACTAAAGCAATGTCGGGTCAATCCTCACATGATGTACATGTGCCAATAAGAGACCGATCAATTGGAAGATTGAAATAAAAAACAATACCAAGTGAATCAGTTAATAGTTATTAGAAAAATATATTTAAAATGTTTTCGCGGAATACATACTGTTTAAATACTAATTACAAATAACAGTAACATTTGAATCCTGACCAGATTAATATAATGAAAGTGACATTAATAGTAGTAGTAGTTTTATTGTGTTGAAGAGTTAATTGATCCAAAATAAAGGCGATCTACTCGAATATGTGGGCCACCTGTTTCTGTCATTTCAATATTTCAACAGCTTATTTGTCTTTTGTTTACTTCAATATATCATTATGTCAATTGATTATACAACATATTTAGGTGCGTTTGTGAAAAGTTCACAACGTTTCACTGTACAACTTACAAAAGTAACTAATCAGAGACATTGTGGTTGTTGGCTATATCCATCGAAACGAATGTACATTATTCAGATGTCAATTCCTGAACTACTGACATCTAACTGGCAACCACTCAATATTGATCACGAGGATCGATTAGGAAATAAGAAACGGAAACTGGTTGAAATACTTTGTGCTGAGAATTCTATATTATCACAGGTTGAAATCATGAGTCAATTCAAGCTAGACCACCATGGAAGCTAGACTCATGATTTCAACCTGTGAAATTTCTAAAAATCTCCACAAAACCCATTCTGATAATAATAATCAACTGCTCACTAGTGACTGACTTCAGGAGATACTCTTGGAGTTCTAGTGGGAAGCTGTTACCAGTGGAGTTCGACCAGGTCTGTTGTGAGATATCAGCTCACTGAAGACAATGGTGTGTGGTGGCGCAACTTCGTGGATTGGTTGAAGTTAAACATTAACACCGTTGGATGCCGGCCGGCTCAGTGGTTAAGTGATCGCATGCGAAACCAGTAGGTCCTGGGTTCGAATCCCGCGGGGTGCGGGGTCGTGGATGCGCGCTGCTGGGGAGTCCCATACTAGGACGAGACGGCCGTCCAGTGCTTCCAGTTTTTCCATGGTGCTCTAGCTTGAATTGACTCATGATTTCAACCTGTGAAATTCCTAAAATCTCCACAAAACCCATTCCGATAATTCTATATTATACTAAAAATATACTATTGAATAAAGCTAATAATATTAATAATGACCGATAGATGAAGAAAAAACAAAATATGATATTTACATATTATCAAAAATAATGTAAATTAGTAGCTTTTTAGTGAATAAGAACACGAGTGAAGACAATCCAATATGTCCGAACATAAAATACAGAACATCATACTCAAATCTGAGAATCATGCAGTAAATACTCATTTGCAAAACATCAATCAATTTTCTCAAACTTGATTATTCCTTCCACTGATATCAGTTTGTCGTTTCAGATTTCATTGTTTCTGCCTTTGTCATAACAATCCTCGTCCGTTCTCAATCTTTCCTTTTCAATCTTCTACTGAAATACATTCTTTACATACTAACTATCACTATATACTACTTATATAGATATAAGTATATAAGTAGTTCATAGCATAGTTTAATAAATATATTTGACTTTTAATAAAATAAATAAAGGAATTAAGATAAAATTGACTAATGAAGATAACCAGAATATTCTAGAATATAATTTTTTGAAATATAATAATTGTATAGATTTTGTTGGTCTATAAACAGCACAATCTAATGGTGATAAATAATTATGAATATTGATAGATTTATGATAAATTTTTGTGAATAACATAAATTTATATGTTGTATTCCATTGTTTTAATCCATTCACTTTAGATATAGATTGACTTGGATTATTTGTATATGAATTGCATGGGGAATTAGTAAATCCAATCTAGAAATATACAAGATTAAGTTATGGATACTATAAAAAGAAAGTCAGTTAGTAACAACGTAGAACTTTCATAATTGATTGATCACTGGGTGACGATCAATGTCATGCGTGTCTAGTCCTTATTAGTGCACCTTGCTAACGAGTGAAAAGTAGCACGAAACCCGTGTCCAGGGTTTCGTGTCGACTACCTACAACCACCATCTAATCTCAACGTAGAACTTTGTACGTACGTACATTAGTTCGAATTGCCATACCATATTAGCATACAAATACTATACAAAAGTGAACATGTATATTATGTGAGTAATGAATTATGAAATAATATTATAACTTTGGTTGTATTACTATTATATGAAGTTTCTGGCAGAATAAGTATCGTTGTCCTTCAAACCATTGAAATTACTACAATATCCATAAAAAACCATTTCCGATAGCAGTTAACATATGCTCATTATTTACTTGCTTCAAGATGTATTTCCTGGAGTTCTATTGAGAAGTAGTGATCAGTGGAGTTCAACCGGGTCTGTTGTCAGATAGTAACTCACTGGTGGATGTGTGGTTCAGTTTCGTGGATTGGTTAGAGTAGGATTCCGGCTGGCAAAGTGGTCTAGAAGTTAAGCGTTGACGTGAGAGACTGATAGATCCTGGGTCCAGATCTCGCGAAGCAGGATTGCGAATACACACTGCTGAGGAGTCACACAACATAATGAAACGGCCGTACAGTGCTTTGAGGTTTTCCATGGTGGTCTAGTTTCAATTGACTCATGAGTTCAACCATTAGAATGTGAAATCATTTTAAAAAATCATCCATATTAGCTATAGTGTTCTCTATCATGAGGTAGGGTTATGGACGTGTAAAGAGTTTTGCAATCTAAGATTAAGTTTTTGTAGTTCATGTCTTTACTCTTTGCTGAAAATCTAACACGGTTAGAAATAAATTAAAAGAAATTATTTTCAATATTATAAACCAGATCTTATCCTAGTACAAATTAGTTTACTGCATTGGTCAAATTTTATAACATTTAACAATAAATACATCGTATTCTCCGCAAACGTTTGTAGTTATCGTGACTCAATCACCTTAGTAGGTAACATGCTAGCGTTCGAAGTAATGGGTACTAATTTCTAATCTCTGTGCAAATATAAACATTACAGTATGAGTCCAAAACGGAATGAAACATTTGTCCTGAAATCCACCCCTACCTATATATAGTTGATTTATCACGATTGGTTGATCACTGGGTGATGATCAATGTCATGGGTGTCAAGTCCTTCTTAGTGCAGATCGAATGCTATCAGCCAAGTTGCAATGTGGCCACTAGTCTAAGTTACTCGACACTGCGGTCGGTCGCGGCCCGGATAGCTCAGTGGTAACGTTTCTGGCTGTGAAGCTGTGTGACATGGGATCGAGTCCGTCAGGAAGCACCAGTTCCCTCGAGATTACAGGTACACCTTGTTGACGAGTGTCAAGTAGCTCGAAACCAGGGTTTCCTGTTAACTACCTCCAGCCACCATCTTATAGTTGATTTTTAGCTGAAATCATTATTAAAACATTCACCAAATTAGCAGATATATCTCGACAGAGACTGGATCAAATTGTCTTAAATAATATCGACCAGACATAGTTAAACTAGTTAAACATGTAGGAATAAGTTATTCCTGATTGATTTAAAAATTATAAACAAGTGATTAATCAAAATACCCGCATATTTTCTTGATCAAATATAGTATAGTATGCTTCGAGAAATACTGAACCCAATATTGTATTTCTATGAGTTGGTTGTATAGCAAAAGCAAAACAATCTCTACTTTGGTTATTTTGATTTATTCGACCAAGATACCTAACGTATTGCTGAAATTTAAAAAAAAGAAACATGCATATCATGAATGTGCAAGCTAAAAATGATACAAAATATGAAGTAAAATTAGGTCTACAATCTAATTGGATTTAGTTTCATTATATGGAGATTCTATTCGATTTATTATTTCAATTTATGCATTGATTAGAGAGTTGGATGGCGAATGTTCGTGAGCGGCCTATACTCCTTCACGAGGAGTAACAGGTGTAAGTAAGTAAGTAACTGATTGGAGAGTACTATCATTAACATCAATGATTCTACTCTTTTGTTACGTAAGTGAAAAATTTTGTTTATCTATGTACATAGAATATATGGAATAGTGACTTGAAATACTTAGATTCTTTTCTTAGTTCTATATCGTTTATAACTGATTGATTTTAATTGGATAGTTGTGTTTAATTACTTCTCTTTATTAAATGGTCATTGATAGTTGTTTAAAGTTTTATGAAAAAGTTATGAAGCGAATAAAATTAACAGGAAATAGATTAGATAAGTCCCCAAATACCCTAGTACAGCCGAGGGTGAGGAGAGTCGGCTCTCCATCTCGAAATGCTCTCACATGGCCACGTGCATACAACCACTACCAGGGAAGTCCTACTGACTGTCTTCTCGTGGCGGGACTGTTGTTTACGAAATTGAGAGGACGAAAAGCGAATGTCTGGCCCTCTAACTAGTGTGATGCATATTTATTCGGTGCCTCTTTGTACCAATATTTATGTGTTCAAATAAATAAATGGATAAGCTATTATGACTTAAGAGAAAGTGAATTATACATATATAGGAAATGAAGTTGAAAAAAATTAATGTTTATTCTTAAGTGCCTATTCTTTATATATATATATATATATATATATATATATATATATATATATATATATATATATATATATATATATATATATATTATTGGTTATATAAGTAAATTTGCAAAGTCCTATGACATAAGAATATGTTCATGTTCTCAATAAACTGATCTATTATTTATAATGAACATAAGTTAATCACTATTTTGTTGCATAAAGGAAGTTATAACAATCACAGGTTTAAGGTCAAAAAGAACCAATCAACATCGAGGTGTACAGGAAAAGCTGTGAACCACATGTGGAGAAATCCAAACACTTCACTTCTACCTGAATTTTGTGCAGATGATGTCGTTCAAAAGAACGATGAAAGCTGCACGACAAAACCATCCAACTTAAAACCTCAACATTATGGAATGTATACTTTTGTTAGTCAACTACGTATCACAAGAAGAAGAATAATGATCTATAACATTAAATACATATTACTAAATTCTTTGTTAGAGTAAACTTTGCCATTTGAATAGTGTGAGGATGGCTCACAGATGAACTCGAGGAAGCTCCAAAAAGCTCAAAAAGAGATGAAGACAGTTCACCCGTTCATCTTTTCAAAGAATATTCCAAAATCTCTACGTGTAGCTTCCCTATTGGACAAATGCTAAAAACCACTGTATGCCGATTGAATGACTATAATGATGACTTCGCTTTTACTAAAATCTATAAGTACCTAGGAATTTTGTACCATATTTGATACTATTTGAAATAACATTCTTTTTCACTTATTTTCTGTCTTCTCATTTTACGAGTTGGTGGTGTAGCGGTAAATAAATCCCCAAAATAAATAGCTCTGTGAGTTTTCGACATTGGATGCTGACCAAATTAGTTTTAGTGGACTCACCTAGCTGAAGGCGCTAGGTCATGTATCCGCACCAGATCACGTGTGGGAACGCCGTGCTCAACATCTACTGCAATCATTAGTCAGACTAGATCAGACAATTCCGATATATTGGCAATCGTCAAATACAACTTCTAGTCTCCTCGATTCTGTCTTTTGATTTCTCTTGGTGGGTACGAGTTATATTAGGTGTTACTGGTAAAAGCGTTGTCAAACACTGAATACCTGTGCCATCTTCAGTGGGCTCTAGCATTCGATTACTCAGGTAGTACACGGTATATAAAAAATCTAAGCTCTAAGTATAACAAACAAGTTTACCAAACAACTCAAATATACAACTAATCATAAAAGTACAATAAGCGAGATTATAACTTATGGACGAACCACTAATTAGTGGAGTACCTCAATGTTCTGTCCTAGGTCCTTTACTTCTTATACTGTATGTAAATGATCTCCCAAGTATAGTACAGTCCCCAATGTTATTATACGCTGACGATGTAAAAATCTGGCAAGTAATAACGGGAAACGCAGATGCATGCGCACTTCAGGCAAACTTAAATAATGTGATTAACTGGTCTAAAGAGTGGCTGATGCCTATCAACGCGGCAAAGTGTGTCTACATGAACTTTGGGGATACAAAGTTTAATAGGTACAGCGTAGAGGAAGCGCTATTACCCGTGTTCCGGTCTCATAATTATCTTCGGGTGATAGTGAGTCATGGTCTTATGACGATGGCCAATTGCCGGGAGGTTGCAGCTAAGGGGTTTCGAACCCTCTGAGCTTTAAAACGGGCACCCACTAAGTTAGATACAACCATATTCACTACAGTATACACAACCTTAGTGAGAACTAAGCTTGAGAAATGTCTTCAGGCTGCAAGCCCCTATTTAGGTGACTCAGATATCCTAGAAAAAGTACAGAGGGCAGCTACCCGTGAAATTCCAGAACTCCGGGATTTACCTCACAAAGAACAACTTGAAAAGTTAAACGTCTTTACTCTATCCTATCGCGGAATCCTGTTACTCGAAGCAGTGGTGTCCGCACTTTCAAGTGACTCATTCAAGAGAAGACCGGACACTAATAGAAGCATACTAGGAAAGGTCCTACGCCTTCTGTTCTTATTACACAAATCTGAAATGTGAATCAAATATAAGACAAGAGGTCTCGAATTTCGTCACAAAGTTCACTCATTCATTCAGATAAATAGAGTATAGGCATTATAGCTGATGTCAGTTCGTGATAAACACAAAAACCATAATCATCAACTGTAAATCGTAATTCTAATTTCTCATAGAGGTTTATAACCTTCATTTAGTCCTATTTATTAGGTGGACACTCACAAGATCAGTCTGGCATCGCTCAAAGGTCATCCATAAATTATAGTCTAACCACATAACATTATTAAAATAATGTAATAAGACGAAGATTATCACAACTATGCGATGATATATATTAGTGCAATACGTTTCGAACAATCTGACCATACATATACTTGTTAAGACCATTTATATATAAAAATAAAAGGTCAACTAGACTGTAAATGAAAGGTAAGAGGAGATAAGGATAATAAAGAAATAATGTGAACACAAAGCGAAACCTAATCACTCTGGATAAGTCAATATTACCAGGGTATGTTTAAGGTGAGAACAAACTGTTTTTAAATACACGAAAGGGGTTTGAATTTTCGTATGGCTAAGGCTTCAATAAACCTTAGTATACGCCCTTTTACACTTGTGTACACTACAAAGATCAATCTTATAGCCTATTTCGATTATATGTTTAGCAATAGAGGATGATGGATGTTTATCCTCTGATCTTATTGGGTCACTTGATTGCATTTGTTTCTGCAACCCTTTTGGTACATTACACACAACCTATGTATATGTGACCACACACACACATTTAAACTGGTAAACACAGTGGGATGTGACACATTCATTTTTATGTCTTTTAGGTTTTGAATGAAGCATGCACCTTGTTCTTTTTTTGATGATGACCTTTGCTGCGCAATAGGTTTTATTGATGACTGATTTAAGTCGTTGTTTCAATAAAAGGCTATTTAAATCACCTATGAATATTAAGGTGATGTAGACAGACATTTTTTTCTACCAAGGCTACAATAGGTTTCACTGTACCATGGACTTTCCATCTATTTATGAATTTCAGAGGATAGCCATTTTCCATTAATATTTTATTTAGCAACTTAACATCATCATCAATGGCGTCATTGGTACAAATACGATCAAGCCTGCTGAATAGGCATCTTATCAAACCACATTTGTATTACTCCTAGAGTTCTAGTGAGAAGTCGTTACTAGTGGAGTTCAACCAGGTCTGTTGTGAGATAGGAACTCACTGAAGATTGTCTTCAGTGAGTACGGTGTACGGTGGCGCAACTTCGTGGATTGGTTGAAGCTAGGTATTAACACTGTTCATGATTTCAACTTGTGAAATAACTATAATAACTAAGGTAGTGACCTGTCCACGTTGATTTTCTAAAACTAGATCGTTTGTCTCCTCTTACCCCAATTCCAGTCTAGTTGACCTTATATATATAATATCAGATGGGTTTTTGTGGAGATTGTAGTAATTTCAATGGTTAAGATCATGAGTCAGTTGAAGCTAGACCACTATGGAAAACCTGAAAGCACTGGACGGCCGTTTCGTCCTATAGTGGGACTCCTCAGGAGTGTGCATCCACGACCTCGCCCCCTGCGAGATTCGAACCCAGGACCTACTTGTTTCGCGCCCGAGCACTTAACCACTAGACTACTGAGCCGGCATTCAACGGTGTTAATGTCTAACTTCAACCAATCCACGAAATTGAGCGACACATTCACCATTGTCTTCAGTGAGTTGCTACCTCACAACAGACGTGGTTGAACTCCACTGGTCACTACTTCTCACTATATATATATATATATATATATATATATATATATATATATATATATATATATATATATATATATATATATATATATATATATATATATATATATATATAATAATAAATTAAATTTACCTGGGGTGATAGTAGTAAAGATACTACTTGATTATTTATATTTATACTTGATATTAATTGAAATTCAATCATTGGAAATAATTGATAAAATTTTTGTAATATTTCATTATTATGATTATGATTATGATTACCATTATGACTATGATTATTATTATTATTATTATTATTATTATTATTATTATTATGAATAGGTAAACAATAAGCATTTTTACCAAGCCAAAATAATTTCTTATTCATTATATTTATATAATTTTTATTAGTGATTATGTATTTCATGAATAGAATATTAATGAATTGTTGAAAGATTTTCATTGGTAAATAAATATTCGTTGTTCCACTATCAATGATTGTTTTATGTAAATTTAACTAAATAAAATAAATTAAATAATAATAATAATAATAATAATAATAATAATAATAATAATTAATATTATTATGATAACATGAAACAATGAAAAAGAAATTACGTCCACAACAAGTCTATTTATGTTTATATTTTGAAAATGATCAGAAACGCCGGTTTTGTGCAATCTCACGGGACGCGGAAACCTGAATGCGCACTACTGAGAAGTCCCACACTAGGACGAAACGGTCATCTAATGCTTCCAGATTTTCCATGATGGTCTAGTTTCAATTCACTCATGAATTCAATTATTAAAATTATTTCAATAGCTGAAATAATGAGTCAATTGAAGCTAGACTATCATGGAAAACTTGGAAGTATTGGAAGGCTATTTCGTCATAGTGTAAGACTCCTCAGTAGTACGTATCCACGATCTCAATGGAGGTGGTTACTTCGCGAAAAATCTAATTCTGTCTCATAGTCCACCTAGGCAGTGTGCCTAAAGGACCACCTTCGCTATCCCGTCATTTTCTGTGCTGAGAATTCTATATTGTACCAAAATATAATATTGAATAAAGACATTAATAATAATAATAATAATAATAATAATAATAATAATAATAATAATAATAATAATAATAATAATAATAATAAATCTCACCGCTCGAAATTCGAACCTAGGATCTATCAGCCTCACGCGTGAACGCTTAACCTATAGATCACTTAGCCAACCGGCATCCAACGTGTTATATTCTAGTGAAGATTAAATTACGAGTAACGTATGAGACCAATTAATAGACTAATATTATTTATGTATTCTTATGGTATAACTATTCAGTAATTAGATTGTGTATATTCATCTTATCATAAGATTCCTTTTGACCTATAAATTATTATTATACGTTTTACTGTTCTTAAATTATGTTCAGTTTATAGACTGCCGTCTCCCACGTCCACAGACACTTTTCGGCTCTATTGTGTATAAATGTTCTTTCCTATTTTATGGTGCGTTGCGGTCTGTTTAGTTGATATATAAACCCAGTATGTCTGAAATAAATTATTCGCATAGTGGGAGCTGTATTGGTGTTCTGGACTCAACTAGACGGGCTAGGCAAGCAAGAGACAAGGACAAGTAAGGACGCTAGGCTGCTCATACCGGTCGAAAGTCATTGGTTTAGCACAGTGTGAAGATCGTATAAGTCGTATTTTGATTAGCGGATAAATCACGTGATTACTAGAGGGCCATAAAGACATAACACAACTATGTTAATGTCTAACTTCAACTAATCCACGAAATTGAGTGACACATCCACCATTGTCTTCAGTGACTTACTATTTCACAACAGACCCAGTTGGACTCAACTGGCCACTAGTTCTCACTACAACACCAGGATATACCTCTTGAAACCAGTCACTGGTGAGCTTAGCGTTTTTAAATGGTTTAAAGTATTTTTTCTGGTAAGTGTTTTCTTAGTGGGTTAGTTTTCTACGGGGTGGTGTAGTTAACCCCATGCCCAACCCTACTCCTTTACCTGGGCTTGGGACCGATAGTAACCCTAGAAGAGCTACAAGCGGAGTTAGTCACTAGTGAGCATATAAAGATTATTATCAGAAAGGGTTTTTTGTTGATATTATAGCAATTTTAATAGTTGAATTCATGAGTCAATTGAAACTAGACCACCATGGAAAACCTCAAAGCACTGCAATGACCGTTTCGTGTGCATCCACGACCCCGTGAGATTCCAACACAGGATCTATCAGTCTCTTACGTGAACGCTTAACTTCTAGACCACTGCGTCAGCCGGCGTCCAACAATGCTAATCTTTAACTTCAACTAATCCACGAAATTGAACCACACATCCACCAGTGTCTTCAGTGAGTTACTATCTGACAACAGACCCGGTTGAACTCTACTGATCACTACTTCTTAATAGAACTCCAGGACTTACCTCTCGAAGCCAATCACTAATGAGTATATGCTGAATAATATCAGAAATGGGTTTTTGTGGGTATTATAGTAATTTTAATAGTTCAGTTCATCAGTCAATTGAAAAGAATATTTTATTTTCAAATGATAAACTATGATTAATGAATTTCACTTATATTAACTAGTCATTAACAATCATAACAAGTATTTATGGACTGGTTGGAGTTTTTTTTCTTTTTTTAACAAGGTTGTTTTTTACAGGATGGGGTTGTTGACCCCATGCCTAACCCTTCTCCTTTACCGGTGATCCTAGAACAGCTACAGGTAGACATAAGTATTTAGGGAGCTTTATCATCATCAACAACAACAACGACAAAATTGAGTGAATTTAGAAAATAACTTCATAGAATGTTAACTCAGTCCTTTTAAGGTATTTTTCTCATTGTGAAACTAAAAATATTTGTATTTATTCTCACACAAAAAAACGAAGATGAAAACGGTTATGAAACTTCAGAATTGAATAAAACACTTATCTACTGTACTCTGGTTTACACTATTTCTCTAGTCGATGTCAATCAGTGATGAAACTTAACTTCAATTTAGAAAATGAATAGTACTATTAATATTTTAATTCTCAATTATATAACTGGACAATAATAACATTTTACTAAATTTACTAAATGGATAATTCTGATTCAGTCTAAACATGAAGTATAAACTCCTTCAATATTTCAAATACCATAACACGAAACTTTAATCAAGCAGGGCTTCCCGTTGGTTGGACCTTTGAGCGACGTCAGACTGACCTTGAGAATGTCCACCTACTAACTAGGGCTAAATGAAGGTTCTAAAGAAGTTTGAAAAATAAGGATTATGATTTGCAGCTGATGTTTTGGATTAGGTATTAGATTCATGGTTTTCATCACGAACTGACATCAGCTAAAATGCCAAAACACTATTTAGACAAATGGGTGAATGAATTTCGCACCAAAATCCAATATCTGTTATCCTAAATCTGAATGGTTTGTTCATAAATTATAGTCTCGCTGTTGTTAGTTCTTTTAACCCTTTTTGCTCTTCAAATACAAGAAATCTATTGAAAATAAACATGAAATGTACTACAGAGGTTGGCCCTAGGTCAAGCCCGCATCGATTATACTAGCCTCTGAATAGATCAATTTATTCATTCTTCTGAAGTCATATTATTACCCTGTCACTTATTCGGTTATCAACCTTGACTGATTTTATGTAAGCATATCCGTATGCACTTCTTTTCTTACTGATCATATGTCTGTAACTTACTTTTACTCTGACTGCAGCACACTGGCAGCACGAAGAAATGAAGAGAAATATCTAAAGGATGTATTTCAGAAGAACGGCTACCCCATCAACTTCATCAAAAAATACCAACCGCACGCAGCATTAGAACTCAAGTCAAATCAGAAATCAACAAAAGGATCACCCTACCATATATACAAGGAATATCAGAAACAGCGACGAGACTGCTAAAAACCTTCGGAATAGGTGTGGCACACAAACCGACAAAATCACTACAATCAATCTTATGCAAACCAAAAGGTGAAATAACAAAGGAAAACAAATCAAACATCATCTACAAAATAAATTGTGCCAACTGCGAAAAACACTACATCGGACAAAGCGGACGCCCCCTTCACCTTCGCCTACATGAACATCAGTTAGCAGTCAAACGGCATGATATCTCTTCACTTATATCAATACACGTGGACAACTGCGGACACTCATTCGATTGGAAAAATGTAGAAATCTTAGACAGAGGAAACTCCAAAAACTCCAGAGAATTTTTAGAAGCCTGGCACTCAGGTCAATTAGCAATCAACAAGCATATTGAAATCAATCCAATTTATCAACCAATCAGAAAAATCATGCACAAATATAGGGACAAAAATCAAACCAATGGGAGACACAACCAAAACAAAGAAGTAAACAACGACAAATTTAAGGTCAATAAGAACCAATCAACGTCGAGGTGCACAGAACAAGCTTTGAGACACATATGGAGAAATTCAAACACTTCACTTCTATCTGAAGTTTGTGCTGATGATGTCGTTCAGAAGAACGATGAAAGCTCCACGACCAAACCATCCAGCTCAGAGAACAAAACTCCACCAAAATCATCCACCTGAGCTACAAATCTTCTCCACTTCTCTTCCCGATTAACAGTTGTTTGAAATAGACGTATTCAGAAATCCATTCGCATATTTGATTTATTTAATCCAGTTATTCACTAATGCAATCCAAGTCGATAATTATAGACGAGTGTAGCCAGGATGTATAGTTTGACAGCAATCATTCGATAACGATCATCCGTCTGATCTAACTAGAGTTAGATGTAGGGTCAGTAAAGTACCATAGAAAAGTTTGCTATTCATTTTCATGTTTATGATTATTATAATTGAGAAACCAAGTTCATTGACTATAAGATTCTGTATCTTTATGATGCAATTGTAACCAAATACATATTCATACACTTTGATTTCAGTGATATATTTATATTATAGTGGTTACCAGTAACAAAGTACATAAACAAAATTCTTTAACAACCAATTCATTATATCGTTTGTGTAAACTATGAATTTCAATTAAGCATATCTAAGTTATTATGAATTATTTCATTGAAAAACATGGACTTGAATTTACCTCTTTACAATTGTCTACTATACTGTATTCATTAATCAAAAGATTGGTCAGAATTATTTCATAATACCATGCTTTTCGAATAGGTGTGTGATAAACTGTTGATGGGTTAAAGCTTGGAATTCTCGGTGATGGTATATTACTAGTAATATAAGTAGACGGCCAGAGGAGATTTAAATCTGTTCGACCAATGATTAGTTTGCCTGACATCTTTCGTGAATTCATATCTGGATCGTTGAACTACATGTAAGAAAGAAAAACATATTAAAATATATTTAGTAATGTAAGTTAGTTGGTAGAATTTGATCAAAACCAAGAACTAAGCCAATATCACACTGGTTACTACACATTAATCACTCAGCGTATAAATCACATTTCTACTTAAAGTTTGTTGCAACATGAATGATTGAGTGGTTAGATTTCTGAATATGATAATGGATAATTCTGATTCAGTCTAAACATGAAGTATACACTCCTTCAATATTTCAAATACCATAACACGAATCTTTAATCAAGCAGGTCTTCGAGTTGGTTACGTGCAACAGCCTAAAGTATCTAGTTATTAAGGTGTCAAATCACATAACTTAAACGTTTGGAACTTTTTGTTAGCTTCAGACAATCAACAATATAACTACATCGAATACATTGTACAAGTACCTGTGTAAATATGATCATAAAAATTTGAATTTTTTGGACTTGACGTCATAGCACCATTAAGTCGATCAAAAGGTCTGTATCTAATATTGTTGTAAGTTGGGCTAAATTGTTACAAATAGTATAGAAACCCTAATTCTTTATATAACTATCCTGGGAATGATCAAAAAGTCACAGATATAAAATATCTGACAAGCCCTTTCAGTCACGTACGCATGTAAACTATAGTATTATGAACAGATAAAAAGTGTTTCAAACAAATGTCATCACAATCACATTGATCATATACTATAGTCTAAACATTTAATCAGCTATTAACCTACCCGTATGTATAAATGAATGAGTGTCTATTATTTATTCTTATCTATCTCCTTATAGACCAAAATCGGTTAAAAACTCGTATGTATGATTATATTCAAACAATCTTCTTCATACTCTTTTGCTTTAAGACAATTTAAAATACTTTCTGATCATGATGAAGTTTTGTTCTCTGAGCTGGATGGTTTGATCGTGGAGCTTTCATCGTTCTTCTGAACGACATCATCAGCACAAACTTCAGATAGAAGTGAAGTGTTCGAATTTCTCCACGATCAAACCATCCAGCTCAGAGTACAAAACTCCATCAAAATCATCCACATGAGCTACAAATTTCCACTTTCTGATCAACTAGAATCTGTTTAATTCAAGTAGATATGTTGACTACACTTGTTATTTAATCTGATAAGCACAAAAATTGTTAATAATTTCCAGATCTGAATAATTATTGAAATATAGATTTTACTTATATCATTGAGTTTACACACATGTTAGGAGGTGAAGAGTCTAGGTGTGTTCAGTTTTTCAAGTAGTTAACACATCTGTTTGGCAAAGTAACTAATTAATTTAAGATTATGGCGAGACTATAATTTATGGATGAACTAATCACGTATAAGATAACAGGTCTTGGATTTTGGCGCAAAATTCAATTATCCATTTGGCTAAATAGAGTCCTGACATTATAAGTGATGTCAGTTCGTCATGAAAACCCTAAATCTAATTCTTAACCTTGACCATCAACTGTAAATCATAATTCGAATTCCTCACATTAATTTATAACCTTCATTTAGTCCTAGTTATCAGGTAGACACTCACAAGATCAGTCTTGCATCGTTCAAAAGTCATCCATAAATTATAGTCTCACAGTAAATACTTCACAATCAGTTGAATGAATAATATCTGTAGTTGTTTAACATGTTTACAAATAAACAATGTTCGAAATGAGTTTTTTTCAATATTAGCAAATCTACTAGTTCACATAGAACACCTAAATAAATTGTTACTCTGGTTGTCAGAAGGGGCATCGGCCTTGTGACTTCCGAAGGAACTCGGCTTTCATTATCAGGCGTCATAACTCTTCTAAATAAAGGCCTTCTGACTCCCAGGGCAGAGTTTAAAATTTTTGAATAGTTTTTTCTGGTTAGCGTTTTTTTAGCTAGTTAGTTTTCTACGGGATGGTGTCGCTAACCCCATGCCCAACCCTCCTCTTTTACCCGGGCTTGGGACGGCAATAGCCCTCGGAGGGACTCCAGGCGGAGTTATAGAACATTATATACGTTTTTTTAGAAATATCAATCATAGGTTAACATTTCTTGGCACTTTTTAAATAGTAGATGAACTAGTTTTAACATCTCAACACATTATCTAACTAATTAGTTGATCTGTATTTTAAAATAAGTTTAAGCACGCAATGTATGATCTACAAAATTTGTACTTTAATTATCCCCAAAATTGCTTTGAATCATGATAAACAAACTCTAAGTTTAAATTCATTTTGTATTATTTATTTGAATCTTCCCATTGATATTTAGGACTGCAATTAATCAGTCTCTTATTGCCATATGTGCATCCTGTATGGATTTCGTCGATATTACCTTAAATCACAAGCATTCTAAGTAAAGATAGATGGTACATCCAGCTGACGAATCTTAAGAAGGACGAAACATGCCTCCCAGATTCCACTGCTAGCCACCATCCATCTTTTGTTTACATTGTAATTTTGCTTTCTTCACTAGTGTTTATTCATTTGGGATCATTTTAATGACAGGTTGAATGTTGTGAGTTGCTTTTATTCGATTGTACTTCATATGAACTTAAGAAGTCGTTTGTAAATTCATTACTTACTTACTTACCTACGCCTGTTACTCCCAATGGGGCATAGACCACCGACCAGCATTCTCCAACCCACTCTGTCCTGGGCCTTCTTTTCTAGTTCCATTCAATTCTTGTTCATTTTTCTCATGTCTATCTCCATTTACCAGGGTATTGTGTTCATTGGTCTACCTCTTTTCCTTTGGCCTTGAGGATTACATGTGAGGGCTTGTCTTGTGACACAGTTGGGTGCTTTCCTCAATGTGTGTCCTATCTTCTTCCTCCACTGGGATCTGGTTTTTTCTCTCCCACAATACGTTGTTGCTGATAGTGTCCGGCCAACGGATCTGAAGTATTTTGCGTAGACAATTGTTAATAAACACCTGTATTTTCTGGATGATGGCTTTTGTAGTTCTTCAGGTTTCTGCCCCATACAGTAGAAATGTCTTGACATTTGTATTGAAAATCCTGACCTTGGTGTTGGTTGCTAGTTGCTTTGAGTTCCAAATGTTCCTCAGTTGTAAATATGCTGCTCTTGCTTTGCCGATCCGCGCCATCACTTCTGCATCAGACCCACCGTGTTCATCAATGATGCTGCCCAGATATGTAAAGGATTTTACATCTTCCAAATCTTCTCCGTCAATTGTGATTGGATTGATGCATGCTGTGTTGTATCGGAGAATCCTGCTTTTCCCTTTGTGTATATTGGGACCTACTGCTGCTGAGGCTGCTGCCACACTGTTCGTTTTCTCCTGCATTTGTTGTTGCGTTTGGGATATAAGTTGTAAATTCATACAAACACTGAAAATTTTTGAGCTATAAAGCTTGAACACTACTTATATGTAGATTACTTATTAATGATTCATAATTCCAACTTAGAATTTAAGTGACGAAATTTCAGTTAACAGATTATTTTCATGTAATAACTGGTGTCAGCCGCATCCCCAATAAAATGCTGGGAGCATTAGATCGACTGTATGTTTTACTTTGAAGTTCAAATATTTTGGTTTCTCTGTACTTCAAAATCGATGAGTTGGGAACATGTAGCTTAGCTTAACTTCGTTGATCAATCACCTTGGTAACTGTTAATACATAAATCTCTAACACTACTTGAATTCAGAAGGCAATAAAGAGAGGCTATTACATTTTATCAGCGGGTAGCACATAACAAAGTTATAAAGCACGTTTATTGAATTTGAAGCAGATATATGAATTCGTGTGTGAACAAATACAAAGGCAAATTTATATTCCAGTCGAATAAGGGCGCAGTAAGGAAAAGCAAAGGCAAATAATAGGATTTGAGCAGTTATATATCCATGGTAAAGAGAATCACTTATCGAGCATTATTCAAGCTATCAACATTTAAGTCAGACTGATACATACGTAGGTTATCATATGTGATCAAGTGTATAAGCTTATACAGACATGATACTGATCATAACAGTACAAAGAAATATGCGAATTGTTACTGTCCAAATAACATTGTCATTAAATAAGTTAATAAAAAGGGTTTGATAAAAGCCAACCCTAATCGTAATCGATTGTAGGAAAGTTACTATCATTCAATGATACCTTAAACTCAAACTGATCTTTATACCCTTTTGAGTAAATAAAAAAATTTTTAAAAAAAAACAAAGACAAAAATTCAATAAATCAATAATTTACCATAGTAGTTCCACATAATAATAATCCAAATTGTTTATGAATTTTCCATATAGAATTTAATTGATCTAAATAAGTGAATTGATTTTTATTATTTATAATTTGATTCATAAATTGATTTTTCCAATCAATCAATAAATTGATTTGATCATTATTATGATGTTTTATTGATTTTGGTTTAATATAAATTGAATTAAATCCTAATCCAATAATTCCATACCATGTAATATTAGTATGTGATAGAAATACTTTAGTTGAATTAAAAATTAAACTAAATGACATATGAATTCTATTATTATTATTATTATTATTATTATTATTATTATTATTATTATTATTATTCATTGGGTAACGATTGATCATTGTTGTATCTAGGATGAAATAAAGAAATGAATGTGAATGAAAAGTTAGTCTATGATAAGTGTAAGAAAATAATTAAAAAAAAGTTGTTTTTTTTCAGTTTTTGATTGAGATCATAAATTGAAAATCTGAAAGTACTGGATGGTGTTTTTGTCTTAGTATGAGATTCCTTAGCAGTGCACATTTACCCAGGATCTTTGGTCTGACGCGAGAATTATTTATTTATTTATTTGAACATATAAATATTGGTACAAGAGGGCACCAAATATATATGCGCCACACCAGATTTGTGTGTGTGTGGGCTGTGATACTGCCCGGGTGCCCAGACCGAAATAGGTGGTTTGTTTAGGGGGTCACACCCCAAGTCTTTGACCAAAGGTCTGATCCACAAGGCAGTGGAGCATCGTGAGGAGATGCAGTCCCATGGTAGCCGGTGACCAACAAATTGGTTCATACGACATTTGTTCCCTCAGGATACTGGAGCCTATATCCATCATGGTTTTGGGATCCAGTTAAAGCGCCGAACATTCGCTTCGCTTTTCTTCCTCTCATTTTCGTAAACAACAGTAGTGCCACGAGAAGGCAGCGAGTAGGACTTCACTGGCAGAGGCTGCATACGCGTGGCCGTGTGAGAGCATTTCGAGAGGGAGGGCGGATCCACCCCACTCTCGACCATACCAGGGCATTTGGGGACAGGCGCGAGAATGCTTAACTTCTAGACCGCAGAGTCGATATCTAATGGTATTAATGTCTAACTTCAACTAATCTATGAAATTACACGACCATCTTCCCTTATCTGAGGTAGATACCCATTTCTATCTGATATGGATTTGCTTCATGAACATTTCACAATAATTTAAAGAGGATGAATAATTTTTGAAAATGATAGAATTATGAAATTTAATACTAAACAGCATATAATTCACTATTACCTTATAGCCATTAAATTATTGTACAACATGATGAAGCGTAATCTAATGAAAGATTTACTCATAAATTTTTATTTCATTGTCAAGGTAACAGCTGTACATAATCTGAAACTAGGCATATGAGTATAGATACAGTTTTAAAGATAGCTATGATGATCATCTTTTTGAATAATTTAATACTTTTGAATTATGCTTTGTAATATATGATATTAGCTGCTACTCGATGATATAGTAGGATATGCCAGTTTTAAACAAGGCCAGTTAATGTCTAAATACTTCAGTAACAATATCTCTTCAACGTTAATTGAAAGTATTGCTATTCTCATGACTGAAAATACATTTTGCTGACCAGTACTAACTAGCAATATCATTAGGTCACACGAAGTTTCCTGGTGATTATCTCTAACCGTTTAACACTGAAGCAAAGTCCACTCCATGACATACAAAATAGTGTTTTTATGGTAATAAATAGTCGGAGAAGATTGTTATAAAGTCTTATTTGACCTAGTATAAGTGCTAATTGCGACTCATCAGAAAGATATGTTTGAAATATTAATGAAACTGTTGCGTCTCGTTGAATAGAAGCTCATGTAATCCAATGTCACAGTCTGAGATATTACAGTCAAAGTACTCGATGGTCATATCTCTGAATATTGATTTCTATTGAAGATTTCAGGAACAAACAGTTTAATTTCGAATAACGAATTCCGCTAATTATTATTCTATCAAAATCTATGCGATTTTGATACAAAAAAAGTTATACATGAATACTTCAACAGATTTGGCTTAAATCATAAGATAATAAACGATTTTGAAATAAAATTATGGGGGTCATTAAAGGATAACCGTGTTACTCGTAAAATAATTGTATAAAGTTGAAGCGCTTGCTTCCAAATGACTATCTATTACATGTTATATGTCGGCAAATTGCACGTTTGTCTAAATATTTTAGGTTGAAAATGTTCAAATGTCAACAAAAGAATATGGTGGTATAGGAGTAGACTGGAAGAAAGCTAGGGGCGGCCAGAACAAAACATGGCACAAGTCCATGAAGTCACTGACAAGTGGACTGAACCATGTTGGTAGGTGTAGACTACCTGGTTGTAATTTGCGAGATGATAGTAACCGATGGTCAGAGACCCTGAATTACATGACTCACAATCGTTTGCAATGGCACAGGTTCATCCACTCTTTGTGTTCTACCAAATTCTAATCTTCAGAATTCTTCATGTTCCTTTCTTTTTTCTCTTTCCAAATTTAGTTCACTGGATTATATTCCTTGAATAATATCTTCAAACCCTAATGTTTCCGATTATTGCCTATACTTTTACTACCTCTACCACTACGGGATTTCAATCGACACTTATATCTCTGTGTGCTAATGTGTTATGGCAACTTGAACTGATGTACATACGTGCAAATTTCTACATTGTTGCTGACTGATTGAAAGTATTAGCTCAATATACATTAACAGTATTACTTGTAAATTTTTAGAAAAAAAAATCAATTGCATACCTTGTTTATTTGTAAAATCAAATTCATCTTGACAATAAACACCAGACCAATAACCTTTCAAATAATGTACATGTTGAATTAAATGGTCACTACATCTTAATGTAGATGACTTCGTAGATTCGAACCAATTGTCAACATTTGTTAAATTTCTACCAGCAATTGCTAAGTTACTACTACCAGTATCAACAAGTAATTGTATCTGCAAAAAATAAATAAAACTGATAACAATTCAGAAATCAATATATATTATTGTCAACGATATTAATTTACCGTCAAAAGAATCGTCTAGGATCCATACAATAGGCTAACTAGGTGGTTTACAGTAAATTTTGGAATGATTATTGTAATCAATTAACATCAGAACCAGAATCATTGAATTGAATTCTTGAATACTCAGTTAACGTGTTATAATATCAACCATCTGAATTTTGAAGCATAAGCCATTGTATAATATGCTGATTAAAGGGAAACATGAGTCTTTCAAGTTCGATAAGGAGTTTCGAACTAGGGATTAAACTCTTTCTAGTATATTTTATTGCCAATGATTCCACAGTTGATGTTAGTACATGAGAATAATAGAGAGTAGTCTGTTGAGAAAACAGACCAGTATTGCATCATGAAAAAAGCGATCTAGTACTAGAAAGAGCTTCCTAACTAGTCGCCATTGTAATGAAAAATGGTAAAATGAAAACAATTTTTAGATGAGAAGTATGAGAGTTTGTAGTGTTAGCCATTAGTTTTAGCCCATAATATATCTTATTCTAGTTTCCGGACATTCCATTCCATTCGTTCTACTTGAGTCATGTTTTGACCTTGTTAATTATTCGCTTATTAGCCTTGACTGTTTTCATGTGAGCGTATACGTGTGTACACTTCACGTCCCATGACTCATCACATGTCTGTAGTTTATTTTGTCTGCCTATAAATATTGAGTAATGCCCGGCTTGAAATGGAGTTGGCTTCCCAGCCACCTTCCATACGTGTCATTTTGCTCTACCCTTTTGTTCGCTTCATATTCGAAATATATGTATTCTCAAGTCAATTCTTGTTATTCAACTTATTTAATTCCGTTATTGGATAATGCGATTTAAGTTGATGATGATATACGAGAATCAGCGATAGCAAATATCCATACAATCATAAAATGGAGTCGAGAACCACGGGCCACTAAAGTGGCGAGCCCTTCAACGAATATCGTCGATCTAAATGAGGACAACATCAAGTTATGGGCCTCCACTAAAAGTTCACTGCATTAGTCAAATGATAATATGACTTGCTACTAACTACTACAATTTTGAATGAAATGAAAAGCAAAATAATACAATGGAATGAATATGTCACACATAAATAGGGAGTAAGAGTTAGATTGTTTCATTGTTAAAGCCTCTATCTTACACACATTTTTAATCCAGACTTGCTATGTTGAAGCGATTACGAGTTCACTTAGTCTGTGAATAGAACAAAGATTTGTGACCAAAGACCAATAAACTAGCTATTCTATTGCGTCCCAGCCCCGCAAACTAGAGACAGAAGTCGAAGTCCGAACAGGGAAGTATACTCCGCAAAACTCAAGAACCACGAGCGATAACAACAGACACAAATCAAAATGTATATATACAGCACAAAACCGTTCTTGGGAAGCATTACGAAATAGCATACTAAAAGACATAACGGACCAGTAGCGTTTAAGATTCCCCCAAGTTGGAAATATGACATGAAGGTTTGAAGAGCTCTTTTGGCGCGAAAACAAAGAAATTCAAAAGTTCAGAATAAAATTATAGAATTAAGACCTATTCCAAGTGACTTCTGGGGATCTAACGTCCCCAACAATACTCCATCTATAAGCAATCGTTCCCCCTAGTAGGTAATTTTCAAAGATAACTAGTTCATTTTCATGAGATCTTAAGGAAAGGATTTATTAATTAACTTGCATTTTCTACTTTTCATGACCAGTTAAAGTAGTACTCACTGACATACATAGAAAGAGCATGGATTTCGAAACTAATGAAATCTTCTCTATCAATACCCATTCACTAATAATTTTAGCGATCAAGCATTCTAAAGAACTAGTCCATCTTTAACATGGTAAGGAATCAGATGTCAGTATACGGTTGTGGAGATTATTAAGTTGTTAAACCTTGGGCTCTAGCCCTGCGAAAGGGTTCGTGGATGCGCGCTGCTGAGGAGTCCCACAATAGGACGAAATGGCCGTCCAGTGCTTCCGGGTTTTCAAAGTTGGTCTAACATCAATCGGTTCATGAATCAAATGTTAACTGGTAAAGATAATCTGAAGCTAAATAGAATAAAATTTATTTCTCATAGTTCTTGACAATCAATATACCCTAACTGATGCCATTCTATGAAGAAAGCTTCTTATTATTCTAAACAATCAGCATTTTATAATGAAAGAAAATTTTATGTATATATGAATTTGATATCATTGATCTAATGCAATGTGAACATTCTAACTGAATAATTGGATATCAAGATATAGAACAAACATTCAACAAAATGACAGTAGTTTCATAGAGTAAGTTCGATACATTGATAAACTAAAACATTCTAAACAGGAACAATTATAAGCAAAGATAGATAGTGGCTAGCAGTGGAATGTATGACTCGCGTTTCGTCCTATTTGGCACTCATTAGCTGAATCAATATCAACTCTGCGATTCAAGTACATCCAGCTTCCCAAATAACCATGGGAAGATACAAGTAAAACAACACCAAGTAAATTCAAACATCACCACATTACACAAGCAAGTGGCTATCAGGACTCAGTAGCTAAGTGGATAACGCGATGATGTTTGAAGCGGACGGTAATCGGTTCAAGTCCCAAAGTGAAGGTCAACTCTGTGATGCAGATACATCCAGCTGGCGAGTCCCAAGTAAGACTAAACGCTCGTCCTGGATTCCACTGTTAGCCACTATCCATCTTTGCTTAAAAAGCTTGTGAGTTAAGACTATATCAAGGCAATACGCATAGGATGCATATATGCTAACATGAGACTGATCAATTGCAGTCCTAAATAACAATGGGAAGATACAAGTAAAACAACAACAAGTGAATTTAGAAACAATTATATATACGAATATTTGTCAATATTACAATGAATAGTTCAATAAAAAATTGGGCGTCCAGTATAGAGAAGTCATTATATGTAAAATATTATATTTGAAATGATCTCATTGATTGAAATTTAAAAGAATTCCAATGTTTCGTCCAGAAAACTTGTCTGAACTTCTTCAGGGTAATAGTCGAAATCATCAAAGAAATATATAACGTTTAACAATCAAATCAAATCAATATTGTGCTAATCCAATCGCATTTAAATGTTCACCTTAGTAAATAGAATCGTGAATATTTCACATGATTCGTATTTAACTGGCTCATGTTATTCGATTTACTAGAATCAACATTCCAGTATGTTTGGATTAGCACAATATAGATTTGGTGTGATTTAATTGTTAAAATGCTATATCATCATTCTTTGATGATTTTGATTTCGATTATTATTATCCTGAAGAAGTTCAGACAAGTTTGCTGGACGAAACATTTGAATTATATTCAAATTTCAATTATTGAGCTTATTTCAAATGTAATTTTTCACTTACATAAGAAACCATTATAATCATACATTATTGATAATAACAATTTAATTGAGACGTTATTCATTACCCTATAGAATTAAGATTTAATTATCAGGCTTTTAATTATTTTTTAATAGTTAAGATCATGAGTCAATTGAAACTAGACCACGATAGAAAACCTGGAAGCATTGAACGGCCGTTTCATCCTACTGTGGGACTCCTCACTAGCGAATCTCTAAGAGACATTTCCTGAAATTCCAGTGAGAAGTAGTGGCCAGTAAAGTTCAATCGGGTCTGTTGTGAGATAGTAATTCACTGAAAACAATGGTGGATGTGTTACTCGATTTCGTGGATTGATTGAAGTTAGACATTAACGCTATTGGATGCCAGTTAAGTGGTCTGGAGTTTAAGTGCTCTCGCGCGAAACTGATCGATCTTGGGTTGGAACCTCGCGAGGCAGGATTGTGGATGCGCATTTCTGAAGAGTCCCACACCAGGACGAAACGACTGTCCAGTCCTTCCAGATTTTCCATAGTAGTCTAGTTTCAATTGACTCATAATCTCAATTACTAAAAATTTACTATAATATCCACAAAACCTTTTTTGATTTTAACTATTTTATATTACAAAATTGATGATTATAATATAACTTACTTTTGATGGAGTTTTGTTCTCTGAGCTGGATGGTTTGGTTGTGGACCTTTCATCGTTCTTCTGAACAACATCATCAGCACAAACTTCAAATAGAAGTCTTCAAGGAGAAAATATAGTTGTTCTCGAGTAGAATCCTGCCTTTTGGCGAAATTTTCCCATTTTCCAACAACGAGAAGCGTATTACACTCATACGATTTTGAGACGATGAAGTTTGTGCTGATGATATCGTTCGGAAGAGCGATGAAAGCTCCACGACCAAACCATCCAGCTCAGAGAACAAAACTCCATTAAAATTATCCACCTGAACTACAAATATTCTCTATCATCTCAATATAACTTACTTTTTGATTTGGTTTACCAATATAAACTGTTATATAATATCCTTGTCCGGGTATACCAGAAAGATTATAAATAATAAATGAAGATGATGACGTAGAAGAAGAAGAAGAAGAAGGTAGAAATATAGTTTCAACAATATGATTTAATTCAATTAGTTGATAACATATAATGATGTGATACAATTTGATGATTCGAATTAATCTTAATAGTTCGTTCATTAGTATTGTTATTATTATTATATCTGTTTCTACTGGTTAACTGATCGGTGACCTGTGCTCCATTGAGAGTGATAGACGTAAATAAGTAAGTAAGTAATTATTATATTCATCATAAAATTGTAGCTTGTTAAATAAATAATCTAAAATTTAGAAAAAAAAAGAGGAAAACAGAAAAAAAAAGAAAACACATTTGACTCTTATGGTACATTTGTGCACTTAAATATACCATTACTTTGAAAGAAAAAGAGAAAAAAGAAAAGAAGAAAAAAGAAAAAGAATTTAGTTCATGCACTTCGTTTTCTTTTTTAAATTTTAATAAAATAATTTTTTAAAAGTGTAATCTTATTCAATAATATTACTTAATATAATGTTCAATAATGGACAGCTCAGAACCAATGAGACGATTTGAGCTTCTTAGATGACCTAGCTCTTCTATCGTATACACATGAACAAATGCAGATGTAAACAACTCATGTAGCAGTATAAGCCTTTACATCTGTAGGCTTCAAAATAAATAAGGGGAAAACTAAGTTTCTTCATGTACAATACGGAGAACACCGATCCAATCATACTTGATGGAGAAATTCTGCAAGATGTGTAATCCTTAACATACCTGGGAAGCATCATTGATGAACAAGGAGGATCAGATGAAGACATTATGGCGAGGATTAACAAAGTAAGAGTCGCATTCCTACAATTGAAGGACATATGGAAATCAAAACAACTTTCAACCAATATCAAAGTGAGAATCTTCAATACGAATCTCAAGACAGTTCTACTGTACGAAGCTGAAACTTGGAGAACTACTACATCCATCATCAAAAAGGTAAAATTATATATAAATAGTTGTCTACCTAAGATACTCAACATCCATTGACTGGATACCATCAGCAATAGTCATCTGTGGGAGGAAACAAATCAGGTTCCAGTTGAGGAGGAAATTAGGAAAAGATGCTGGAAGTGGATAGGACATACATTGAGGAAATCACCAAACTGAATCACGAGGCAAGCCCTAACTTGGAATCCTGAAGGGAAGTGGAAAAGAGGACGGCGGAATAACACGTTACGTCGGATAATAGAAATAGATATGAAAAGGATGAATAACAACTGGAAGGAGTTGAAAAGGATTACCGAGAACGCTGTTGGATGGGGAATGCTGGTGAGTGGCCTATGCTCCTTCACGAGGAGTAATAATCGTAAGTAAGTATAATATTCAAATAATTTAATTTAAGGAATTGACATCAGTACTAAGAATTTACAGTAAATTTCATATATTAAGGTACAAATTTATTGAATATAATTTATATACAATGATATTTATGATAGTAAAGAAGATTTATAGCTTAGTTAGATGACTATGATAAAGTTTCACTTTATTTGAAATTTGTGCTGATGATATCGTTTAGAATAATGATGAAAGTTTAATGACCAAATCATTCAGATAGGACGACAAAACTCTATTAATGATATTTGTCTGAAGTAAAAGTTATTAATTTATATAAGAAAAGTGGTTTGATTGAATATTTAGGTGACCTATTCCTGACATCTGGATATTTCAACAAGTTCTCTGTTTTAACACATCATTATGCCTATTAGTTGCATAACATATTTAGGTGTGTTTGTGAAACGTTTACGACACATTTCGTTGTAAAAGTTCCAAAAATGCCCAATTAGAGACATTGTGGTTGGTGTCAATATTCAGTGAAAAGATGTCTATTCCTGAACTCAGTTAGTAAGTTAAAACGTAGGACCAGGCACGTATATGCATCGGTCCAAGTTGCCATACCTCAATAACACAACAAAATGAACACCGAATTCATAGAAAGGTTTTATGTAAGGATATAGTACAGGACAAAAGAATTAGTTGTTAGAAAGAACGATATAAAGCGATTTTGTTCTCATAGTTTAAGGGAAGACAAAGAGTGCATACACCGACTCCATTGTGATCGATTCTGAGCCATGTCACCAAGAGTCTTCAACCATTGGTTACGATAGTCATACGGACCCCAACCAAGTAGTCTACATCTACCAATATGGCTCCGACTAGAAGTTAATGACTTCCTAAACTGTTAACATTGACGACCACTCAATATTTATAGCCAGGATCGATTAAGAAATAAGAAACGGAAACATGTTGAAATACTTTGTGCTGAGAATTCTATATTATACCAGAAATATAATAGTGAATAAACCCACTAATAATAATAATACTATAAAAATTAGGAAGAGTATTGAAATATTCATAAATATTGTTTTCATTTAAAATTGATATAAGCTGAACAATCAGTGAACACTAGGAATAAGAAAATAGTTATTTTCTTCTTAGTTGGTTAGTATTAACAATCAGAGATATTAAGTTCTTTTAGTGAGTACAGTATTTTAGAATCAGTGAATGAACTCCACTAATCTTTGCTTCTCAAAAACAATCTTGAAAGTTCATCTTTAAGTTCTTCATAAACATTTCCATTATAGTTGTTGTAATAGGTTATTTGTGGTGGTTTCAAATTATTTAAAAGATGTTTTTCTATAGGACAAATAAAACCACCAGCAGATTGACCACATCAACCAATAAAAAAGTTTATCCATGTGAGTTTGATTCTATATGGGTGGATGACGTGGAAGTTGAATGGTGGTATCGTGTAAGTAGCACATACAATCACGATGCTAATCGTGATTCTTGTATTGTTTGAAATATCAAGTTTTCGGATTGAACATCACTGGTCGTGTCTGTCGATGTTTTTATGTGGAGAGTGGTTCGAATGAGTATGTGGAAGTGCCAACCATCAATCCCGGGTGCTTTTGTATGCTAAGTGAGCGCTTTACCACTGAGATACATTATATGTGGTCACTGTCTGTTCTAGTTATATTAAGAGTTATTTCTAATCCCTTTAAATTGGTCTTGATGATGTAAGTTCATTCTTTCTTTGTCTTCTTGTATACTTTGAGTTTAATCTTAATTTTCACACTAAACTTTCGGATTTAATTTGTTATCTGTGCATTTTATGCTATATATCTTGCTTTTAACTGATATTCTAACTTTAACTAATTCACTTTTTCTATATTGATATAAGGTGTAATAAAATACTAAAAATTTATGTCAGCTTTTAAAACCTTTATAATAACCGAATGACAGACGAGTAGATTACTACTTCTGAAAGTCACGTTTCGAAATAGAATATATATACATATCAATGAGTTGAATAGTTGATTCGATCCATTTCTTCATGAATTGACATTCTCCACAACTTCTTGGAGCAATTAGTATACACATACAAATCTATCACTTTTTGGATACATATAAAGATGTTAAATAAGTGAATCACTTTTTTCCGAACAGATATTTTGCTATATCCAATGCATGTACATTTCTTATATGTGCCATTGTTATTATTTTAAGTAATTTTGCACTTGTATATAATGTATATTTATTAGATAGATTTATGTGCACTTTACTTTTATATGCTTATCTAATTGCTTGTATTGTACACGTCTATTGTATATCAATATAAAGTTAACTTAATAATAATAACTCTAGAAGTAAATTATTTAAATTCTGCATTAGATGGTGGTTGGAGGTAGTCGACAGGAAACTCTGGACCCGGGTTTCGTGCTACTCGGCATTCGTCAGCAAGGTGTACCTGTAATCTTGAGAGAACTGGTGCTTCCTGACGGACTCGATCCCATGTCACCCAGCTTCACAGTCAGAGACGTTACCACTGAGTTATCCGAGCCTCGACCAACCTCCTGTAGGACTGAGATATAATCACAATTGATTGATCACTGGGTGGCGATCAATGTCATGCCACCCAATGGTCAGTCAATTGTGAAATTCTGCATTATTTACGTTTAAAGGTACTTTATACAAAAAGACGAATATATTAACCAGGGTACTGACTGTATCACAGATTGCCGCTAGTTTGTTCATCTCCGATGTAGAATTGAAGATTTTAATTATTTCTATTAGACCGCCCATTTGTCTCAGATATATATATATAACACTTTCAGCTCTATGAAACACGCTCAAAGAAGAAACTTTTTCTAAACTGATGAATACTTCTTCAGTTCACATAAAATTCACTTTAGAAAATGAGAATAAACTCACTGAACTACAATCTTTAGACTGTTTAGTTAAAAGGAATTAAAATGAATGTTTAAATCTAACCAACTGCCACAAACCGGGTGCAGTTAAATCAACATATTATTATTATTATTATTATTATTATTATTATTATTATTATTATTATTATTATTAATGGCTTTATTCAATATTATAGTTTTGGTACAATATACAATTCTCAGCACAGGCTATTTCAACAAGTGACTTACGCAACAACAACAAAAAACACAGTAACGAATACAAAAAAAATTTTAAAAAAAAGGTTTTTTAAAAAGAAACCGAAAAACTGTACAACTTTTCAATTTAGAGACATGGTTAAGAATGCAGATTATTGACTAGGTTAACTCTAACAACCTGTTCGTCACACAGTATATTTGCTAGAACTTTTATACTTTTGCTTGCGTGCATGGATTTTAATGTAATAAAGTCTCGTTCTACTCGAAGATATACAAGGAGAAAGATAAGAGTGAAGGAGATGGTTAGTATCTGATAAAATAACACCTGCCAGGAGTTTGTATGACTTTAGATGTCCATCCACAACCATATTAATTATGACCTCGAAAGATTCACCACACACCTTGCTAACTGCCTTCAGTACTCTTCGCAATACAGCAAAGTCTTTTCTCAAAAGCCCGAGAAAGAATAATGGAGAACAGTAAAGAATAATAGGTAATATGCAAGAATTGACAAATTGTAAGTGTAAATGATGAGGCATATCTACTGAATGTAAAAATCTGTTTAGCGCTAAAACGTATTCAAACAAGTGTCAAAGATTAATACATTGAAGAAAGAAAGGCAAAAAGGACAGAAAAACATCATTAGCATATTACAGTTTTGTAACTTTCCCATGAATATTATTAAAAATATACCAAAACGAAATGTTCTTTGTTGAATAATAATAAGTTGAATGGTTTATCATGGGTTGGTACTTCTGTTCTACTCTACCGGGCGTGAGACAACAAAACAACTATAAGGAATCCCTAGGTCACACAGAATTAAAATATTCTATCAAAACAAAGAACATTCTCTGAAAT